TAAAAAAATGATCGGCAAATTTTCATGGCCCGTTTTCTACTTCATCTTCGTCATTCTTTAGCGCTCCCCTATGACGACGTTGGTCCCCTTCACGGAGAAGGTGCCCACTTCTTCAAAAATTATGATGTAAATACGCCGTCTAAGTTCTTTCGTTCGGAATCCCCGCCCAACCCACCCTGTAAGTGATTATTTGAACTTTTTTTGACAATTGAGGCGAGATAAAGAAATAGTCATTAGCCTAGTGCTTTCATACTGCGCTAGTTCGCGCGTTGCGTAAACTTATCTGCATCACCGAGGTCTCTATTGATGTTTGAAAATTTGCCTGGCTAGATTGACGAACTAATGGGACGTCTACTAGTCGCCATTGGGTTCCATTGCATCTTAATGGATGGCAATCACCCCGAATTTTCTGTCAAAGATACCTGCTTATTTAACCTCAATAAAGAAAAACTTTTAAGCTAAGGGGCAGCTTCGCTTGTCTGCTCTACCAAGCTGACAAGATAGGTAGAAAATCTGGCACCTTTATCCGATCTCGTCAGAGCCTCCGATTCATCGTGTGATCAATGGAAACTCTGCTAAGGCAATCCATTCATTTGGGCTTGAGACAGGGTGTGTAAGCTCAGAGCAAAGTACCTGGCCTGGGTTTCGTTTCCTTAATTGGTCTATCTTTACGCATCTCCGGAAGGCTAATAAGTAGTCGGTCTAGGGTGCGACTGATCAACTGTGCCCTACCTCCTGAACGAATAAGCCGTTTTGATCACCTGTTGCTCTGACTGTAAGTAGAGGCCACAAATATCCAAACCCTGTCCTGTCTGACAGCAATATAGAGGTGGCCACTTGAAAGCGTAGGGATCGGGGTGGAGTCGAGCGAAAGCTTACCCTACTCGCGTTTCCAATTTTGCAGTCTGCATTGTTGACCTCTCCTGTCGATTGGACACAGTAGAGGATTGTCGTCTGGCTTGCGGTTAACTGGAAATGAAAAGCCATACTGAACAACAGCACCGGTGCCTCCTCCCCGATTTTCTAAGGTTTAATAGATTCTTTGATTACTTGACCTTCTTCTGCTACTCCATAATGATTAGCGACTCATAGGGTAATGCGGCAGTTTTTTCATATAGTGATTTTAAAACATCCACGGCCACAGGATATGAGTATCTACATAGGGGCACCGGTTAGTTTAAACCTGCGCCGAGATAAAGGCGTAAACTCTGTCAATTGCAATGGGAAATCTTCATACGGTGCTGCTCACCATCCGAACTTACTTCAATACTTGGCTGGTGTTGTATCCTATAGAAAAAATACGCCCCTCAGCTTATTCGAACCGTATTACGACACTGTATTTGGTCTATTCCCCATACATAGCCATAGTATTGACACACCGACATTCTCCTTTCAGGAGGCGCTACTGCTGGATCGTTCGTCAAGTACTGATGCTTGCGTCATGATTACATGCATAATACCAGAGGTAGAAAGCCTAGCTCAGTGGGTTCTCCGAATTTTCTGAAAATCACAGCCACTTCCAGTTTTGATGAGTAATTTATCGCCGACGGTTCGCAAAGAAATCTCTACATTCCTACTAGGGGCACTGTAATAGTTGACTGCTTTCAGCATTAGCCAGAACCTTGCCGTAGTGTGTCGAATCAGAGGGAAGAAAGCCCATGTACATGCTACATGCATCGTTTATAATGCGTTCGCAGAAAGTTGGTTACTTTATCGAATTGGAAGTCACATAAAATATATAGTGGCACTTTAGTTTAGCCGTGTTCCACAAAATTGTGCCGACACCGTAGATGGTAGCTCGGTTATCGTTTAAAATGGCGAATATCTCCTGAACGCCAGCGGTTGTATGCGCGTAGTCCTGCTCGTTAGTTAGGACGAAACCAGATATATTTTGCAATATGCCGACGGGGCTTATTTTCGGGCCATCCTTGTACTA